TGTAAGACTGTACCTATAGCTGGGTATGGACACGATGACCCCACCACACCCCTCTGCCCCCCACCCACTCATGTGCTGGGCACCCTTTCGCCTGGTTCACAAAACATGTTAGGGTTAGATCTAGTTGACTAACTGAACCTGAACCTGCGACTAACCTCCAGCGTTAGGGGTAGGTTTAGATTTGTGCCAGTTATCGTGGCTATTGCAGTACCAAATAATGTTCATCTTACTTGATCGCACGCTTAACATGAATATATCTATTATATAGCAAGATGTCAGTGTTGGCCTCTGTGTACGTGTGTGTGTCTGTGACAATAATACCGAGTCAGTGAAATCCAAATTGTTTTAAATAATTTTGTCAGTTTTATAAGAACAACGTGACTTGTGTCTAGCCTCAATCTACCAGACCGCTAACGTCGGTAGGAAAATCTACGTAAACACTCTCTGTCTATCCACCCATAAGTCCATCTATCCTCCATCCTTCCACTCTTACATCCGTCCATCCACTAATCCACCAATCCATCCATCCGCTAATATACCCCTCTAACCATCCATATGTCATTACATATACAATGCATTTACATGATTTCTTATCATCGACAATTGTATCGTTCCGTTATCCTAATCCAACTGATCTAACCCCCTCCCCCCCCCCCACGTCTACACTAACCTTTGCTCTGCGACATTAATCAATCTTGAACCCTCAACTACACTTTGCCTTACATAGCACCTACTACCATCCCATAATTAACTCTAACCATATAGCCTACACTAAATATAATTTTAACCTAACTCTATACACATTTACAAATTATTATGTAGCTGTTGATCAAAATGCGAGTTCCATATATACATTATATGTATATGTAAGTATGTGGGTATCTGTAATTCTGACAAGTAACTTTTACCTTTGCTATAAAATACATGTAAATTATTACACATGTATTTTCTTGATCTAGGCATGCTTAGGCACAGAGGCGTAGCGACCCTTCCCGACGCCGGGGACAAACTTTTGATTTGCACCCCCCCCCCCGCTCAAACTTTCAATTTATCGCCCTCCCCTAAGGTCGGCGCCCGGGGACATATGTCCCCCCATCTCGCTACGCCTCTGCTTAGGCATGTTTTTACAACATAGACATGTATTTGTAACATGGGCATGTATTTGTAAAATGAATATGTATTTGTAACATGGACATGTATTTGTAAAATAGACATGTATTTGTAACACAAAACATGTATTTGTAACATAGACATGTATTTGTAACATAGACATATATTTGTAACACAGACATGTATTTGTAACATAGACATGTATTTGTAACACATACATGTATTTGTAACAAAATACATGTATTTGTAACAATTACATGTATTTGTAACACAGACATGTATTTGTAACATATACATGATTTGTAAAACAAACATGTATTTGTAACACAAACATGTATTTGCATCATAAACATGTATTTGTAACACCGACATGTAATTGTAACATAGACATGTGTTTGTAACATAGACATGTCTATGTAACATAAACATGTATTTATAACACAAACATGTATTTGTATCTCATACATGTATTTGTATCACATACATGTCTATGTTACATAGACATGTATTTGTATCACATGCATGTATTTGTATCACATACATGTCTATGGTACATAGACATGTATTTGTATCACATGCATGTATTTGTATCACATACATGTCTATGTAACATAAACATGTATTTGTTACATGAACCAGTGCCAGAAGCCTGGACCAGCCCATGTAGCCAGCAGACGACATTAGTTTACGTGCGACCTGCTAGGTGTGGAGATGATTAGCCGATGATTGACGTTAGATCCCACAGCAGCCGACCAATCGCTACCCTCCTCCCCCCGACACACGGTGGTGTTTCATGGCTTCCCTCCCCTGCCCTGAGTCTGATACATGGACAAATAAATCTTTGGCTCTGTCGGGCTTTATGCTCACAGGTCTAGAATTGTAGACTTACCTCCAGCATTTTATACCAAGTACTACATCCCAGCATCAGTTCCATGATTACCTCTAGGTTCTCAACATTTTGCTAGATGTATTAGTTATCACTTAGTCGCGTTTTTAGAGCTAGGTATAACCTCTAGGCGTTTTATGATTGCATTTATTTTCAACATTTTTAGTTAAATTTTTATCATTCTCTAAGATTAGATCCAAATGCTAGCTCTATTATCGGATATTTTTCAACACTTATACAGTATTAAACTGATTTTAAATAATTATTTTTTTATATAAAGCAACCACCCACCCGCCCTAGTGAGATGTTCTCCAAGTAAAATTTTATTTCAGACGATGGCTTGACGATTGCAGATGTATTTCTAAGTGCAATCTAAAGGTTAGAGGGAAATCTAGTTTGAGTGGATATGTGTCTGGGAGTCTAGGCTTGGGGGGCTTGTGGGGGCTTGAGGCTTGATTAGAGGATGGAGTTGAGACCAAGGAAAGCCCCCCCCCCCTTTCCATCCCTCCCTACCCCCACCACCCCGGTGAAATAACAGGACGAAATGGTATTGTCTAGAATGTCTTGTGCTGTGAAACCACCCCGTCACGCTTACAGTTAAAGACACAACCTGCGGTGGAGATGTTTGGGGGATAAAAAAAATCTTGTCGAAAAAGGCTGGGCTAACGGGGCAGGGAACACACATTCTGGCTGACAGCTAATGGGAATGGACGTACAGCAGACGATGCCCCTCCCACAGCCAACCCCCTAGCGGCCGTACACGACGCACGCGGACAGCCCCGCCCCGTCCGCTGGCTGGGCTAACCTCGCGAACTCGCCGGCTGGCTCGGCCCTTGAAGCGGCGACTCGCGGGACTGTAAACACTGAGACCCTCGGCTGTAGAGTCGGGCCGCACACACGAACCAGTCGCTCGCCGAGTCTAACTCGCTTAATTCTAGAATTTACTTTTAATCTAAGACTCAACGTTTTTTCCCTTCATCTGACTTGAGTAAAGCAGACTTGGAACTTGTGGGTGTGGAAGTAATTCTTTGGGACAGCTTTTGTGTGCGACCAGTTTGTAGGGGGACACAAGGACAGCAGGTTTGAGAAATAGTTGTAGTCTTAGCTGTATCTTCGTTATCTGCGGCTCTGGAGATCTATCAGAAAAAAGTTGCTTGATTCTTAATGAGGATGTGCCAGTGTTTCTTTTCTGGAAGAGTTTGAGTGTAGAGTTGTAAGTCGCCTTTGTGAAGCCGTTGCTATTGTAGATATAGACCGTATGTAGATAGTACCATAAGACTCGAACATACATGTATGTGATTCTAATACTGATTCGTCGCGTAGTCTTTTGTTTTAAATTACATTTGAGTTGATTTTTAACTATAATAAGTCTAAGTCTTTTAAAAAGTACACTACAGTAATTAGTAATCTACCGTCTCCTAATTATGATTAAATTATTTCACATTCTGCATCTAAGTTTAATCACCCGTACACTAATTAATGTCCTCATTAATGAGCTGAAACTTTAGATTCCTGTAGGTAGGTTTATATCGGGACTATGTTAAAGATTAACACGGATTAACTATAAATCTTGAGTGAGACTTTTCCAGGGGATTTAGGAGAGTTTAGCACCGGTATTAACTTAACTCTCTTTAAATCTAGCTTTAGAACTCTAGGTTAATCCACTACTCTACTTAACTATCATATAAGTACCAAAGTCAATTTGAAACATTAACTTCAATTTTTAACAATAAAATTCATCTTTTATTTTATAAAAGTTTTTTATTTTTATAAATATATTTTATTATTAATATTAATTTTAAAAATCCATTTAAAAATACTCAATATTTAAATTATAGAATCTAGCTTACATTTAATTTTAGACTTTTTTTTTAATTATTCAAACTTCACATTTTTGTTTACATATCACATTTATGAAAGAAATGTAAAGAATAAACTAGGCTTCAGTATAGAGGGGACAAGGGTAGATACATTACACATTGCTAGTCAATAGGACTGTCATATACTGTCTGTCTCATACACCCGACTGTCATACACTGTCTGTTTCATATACCGACTGTCATACACTGTCTAACTGACCCGACTGTCATACACTGTCTGTCTCATACACCCGACTGTCATACACTGTCTGTCTCATACACCCGACTGTCATACACTGTCTGTTTCATATACCGACTGTCATACACTGTCTAACTGACCCGACTGTCATACACTGTCTGTCTCATACACCCGACTGTCATACACTGTCTGTCTCATACACCCGGCTGTCATACACTGTCACATAGACCGACTGTCATACACTGTCTGTCTCATACACCCGACTGTCATACACTGTCTGTCTCATACACCCGACTGTCATACACTGTCTGTCTCATACACCCGGCTGTCATACACTGTCACATAGACCGACTGTCATACACTGTCTGTCTCATACAACCGACTGTCATACACTGTCTGTCTCATACACCCGACTGTCATACACTGTCTGTCTCATACACCCGGCTGTCATACACTGTCACATAGACCGACTGTCATACACTGTCTGTCTCATACAACCGACTGTCATACACAGTCTGTCTCATACACCCGACTGTCATACACTGTCACATAGACCGACTGTCATACACTGTCTGTCTCATACAACCGACTGTCATACACAGTCTGTCTCATACACCCGACTGTCATACACTGTCACATAGACCGACTGTCATACACTGTCTGTCTCATACAACCGACTGTCATACACTGTCTGTCTCATACAACCGACTGTCATACACAGTCTGTCTCATACACCCGACTGTCATACACCGATCACTAACCCGCCCGGTTATCTTAATCCGGTTATCTCAGAAGGTAAAACCGGTTACGGCAATCAGTGGCCACTTACCGCCCGTCTGCTTGTTTGATTACGGTCATCACGTGATCTACAATTGTGAATAGTTAAGGAATGTATTTTTTTCTCTTTTAGCTGTGAATAGAATCTCTCCCGAGCCAAAGTTTGTACTAGTACACCAAACTAGACGTTAGTTGTCTCCTGTTATAGAACAATATTCAGCGGAGAAAATCTTTAGAACAAAAGATCTATGCTGCCGTGAAAACTGAGGCTAGTCGTGGCTGGATTCGATCCCACTATCTTTCACCTAGGAGGGAGCGCAGGACGGGTATAGATGAACTCTATGAATGAGCCCCTGTGTCTTGAGGAACTCGTTGTAGGCGCCCACCACCACCACCCCCTCGCCTCCAGCCATCATCTTGGAGGTATGACCATGCACCATCACCATCACCATCTCAGCGACTCGAACCCTATACCTTCAGGGTCGGAGTCGGCGCTATCCTCGCCACCACACGGTTCGGGACACCATACCACCACCGTGCACAGGACCATGACGCCCAGTGACGCTGCGTCAGACAGATCTGGTATGTAATCCTCCTTTCTTTCTCAGCACTTTTCCGTTAGAGGGTACCGGGTCTATGTCACCCGTTGTTTGAAAAGTTTGTTTATGATTGTATGTAATGCCGTGTTAACTGTTAAGCTAAGTGCCTTAGGATTAAGCCGAGGGTCTGTGTAGTGTAATGTTCATCGTGGTACATATATCGCTAATGTACCAATTCTTTAAGCGGAAAAACTTTTTTAGTGAATTGTACTTTAATTCAGACTCATTATTCCATTGTTTAAAAAAAATTGTTTTATTGTAGCAGCGTGGAATGATATGGACTTATGGGAAGGGGGGGGGGGATGTCATGTACAAACTGCCGATTCTCATCAATGTCCCAACTTACACATTTCACCAAATGTGTAAGTTCTCAAATGTTAGAATAAATATGTAAGCTGTATTTAGGATGTAAGAGTCAGAATCTAATAGAATAAATTGTAAGCTGTATTTAGGATGTAAGCGTCACAATAAAATTGTAAGCTACAACAACATGCGTTATAGCCAAAATGACATTTAGGATAACATTTGGTGTAGCAATGGTAAAATAAAAATTCAGCTCGAATAGGGCACCTTATTGTCAAATCTCTGTCCTGATACATTAACTTTACCCTCCCCACTAGGCGGGTAAATAAAATTTAAAAAATGTGTTTCACTAGTTTTGTTCTTGAATCAAATAGTGTCTGAATCTTTATTTAGATACCATATGTTTCATTACTTAGCATAAACTTACACAAATTAATCATTGTTGTGAAATAAAAGCGGGACTTTTGAAGCCGTTGCAAATTCTTATGATTTTAGAACACATTAGAAAGGAATTATAAATACCAGATTACACAATCCTTAGATCTAAATAGATGAAACTATTGTGTATATATGGATAGAAATGACCTACCGTCTATGTGTAGATAGAAATGACAACTCGCTAAGGTCACTAGACAAAAATGTGTTTGACCTTAAAGTTGAATGATGTATTGTATACGACCGATTAGCTGAAGGTTGATATAAAAGATATAAATGACCTACCATGTATGGGTTGATATAAATGATATATCAGCTAAGGTTACCTAGTAATGACGTAGATGACCTTCTACCTATTGATAGATAGACATGACCTACATAGACATGACCTAACGTTACATACATGCGATGTATAAGAGCTGCTAGTAGCTAAAGTATGACCTAACATTAATTGGTAGACTGATGTATATGACCTACCATCCCTGAGTATATTGATGTATATGACCTAACATCCCTGAGTATATTGATGTATATGACCTACCATCCCTGAGTATATTGATGTATATGACCTACCATCCCTGAGTATATTGATGTATATGACCTACCATCCCTGAGTATTTTGATACTTATGACCTACCATCCATGAGTATATTGATCTATATCACCTACCATCCCTGAATTATATTGATGTATATGACCTACCATCCCTGAGTATATTGATGTATATGACCTACCATCCCTGAGTATATAGATGCATATGACCTACCATCCCTGAGTATATTGAACCCAACAGTTTAAAAATCCCCCCACAAACACCATCCATCCCCATCCTGTCACCCAAGAAACTACTCCCACCTCCTAATGAAACCACAATATTCCAGAGTTCCATGATTGATATTTCCCCATTGTTCAAATAATTAAGACGGATGGAACCGAAGCAGACGTAGTGGCCCAGCAGGTTATAGAGCTATAAACTCCCCCACAAAAGTCGGGAAAGTTTCAAGTAAATGATGCGTTCATTCAATTTGGAAAAAAAATATTTTGAAAAAGTTTTCCATGTCATATGTGTGTCAACACTGGCTATTTGTGTAGGTAGTTTGTCGTGTGCGTGCCGGTGATGCGGCTAAAAATAGCCGCACAATACATGTCCCCCACCCCCTCCCCACTGACGGGTTGTATTTTAGCAGGTAGTGCTAATCAATCACTACCCAACTGCCAAGGGGTAGTGGTATCAATCTTCTTATGGCATATAGCTCCCCCCCCCCCACATACATACTTTCATTTGGTCAGCTGTCTTTGCAATAAAATTTATATAACCGTCGCGTATGTTATATAGCACCGTATTGACGTTACAAACGGTATATAGCACCATAGTGCCGGTAAATATTTGATATAGAAAGATATTGCCGGCACAAATTCGATATAAAAGATATTGTCGGCACATATTCATATAGAAATATATTGCCGGCACATGTTTTATATAGAAATAGGTTGCCGGCACACAGTTGATATAAAAAATATATTGCCGGCATATATACAGCCGTCAGATTTGATACAGCAATGTGTTGCCGTTATTCGATTGATACAGTAAAATATACGCGTTATATTTTTCTACACAACATATATTATGTGTAACAAAACAGCAACATATTGCTGGTTTAAAGTTGTATACAAAATATAGACGACATTAACCTATCAACATAATGTTATTCTTGTCAATGAACTATGTTTGACATAACAATATGGGACATATGACAACAGTCTGTATGGCATATAACAATTTGTGACATATCACAACCTGTGATACAAAGCAATCTTTGGCAATAAATAGTTGTGACATTTAACAATATACGACATGTAAGAATTTTTTTATAAATAACCAAATATGACGTATAACTTATCTGTTGCATGTAACAATAGACCTATATGAATTATAACAATATTTTACATATATCAATGTGTGTTATATAATAACCTGACCTATAACAATATAAATATATAATTATAGTTTTTAATTGACTTGACTTAGAATAATGTGCATTTTACATGTTTGTGCTGTAGGATACATACAAGTTAATAATACCTTCAAATTTTACATAAGTAATGGTCCAACAATTGTTCTAAATGTATTTTTGACAACAGAGAACATATTCTTAATAACAGCACTTTTGACAATATAGAACTTATTGTTTTACATGCGCATTTGACAACATAGAACATATATGTTTGGTTGTAGTTTTTAGTTGTAGCTTTTAGTTGTAGTTTTTAATTGCAGTCTTTAGTTGTAATTTTTAGTTGTAGTTTCTAGTTGTAGTTTTTAGTTTCAGTTTTTAGTTGTAGCTTTTAGTTGCAGTTTTTAGTTGTAGTTTCTAGTGGTAGTTTTTAGTTGTAGTTTTTAGTTGAAGTTTTTAGTTGTAGTTTTTAGTTGTAGTTTTTAGTTGTAGTTTCTATTTGTAGTTTCTAGTTGTAGTTTCTAGTTGTAGTTTTTAGTTGTTGTCTTAAGTTGTAGTTTCTAGTTGTAGTTTTTAGTTGTTGTTTTAAGTTGTAGTTTTTAGTTGTAGTTTTAAGCTGTAGCTTTTAGTTGTAGTTTTTAGTTGTAGTTTTTAGTTGTAGTTTCTATTTGTAGTTTCTAGTTGTAGTTTCTAGTTGTAGTTTTTAGTTGTTGTCTTAAGTTGTAGTTTCTAGTTGTAGTTTTTAGTTGTTGTTTTAAGTTGTAGTTTTTAGTTGTAGTTTTAAGCTGTAGCTTTTAGTTGTAGTTTTTAGTTGTAGTTTTTAGTTGTAGTTTCTATTTGTAGTTTCTATTTGTAGTTTCTAGTTGTAGTTTTTAGTTGTTGTCTTAAGTTGTAGTTTCTAGTTGTAGTTTTTAGTTGTTGTTTTAAGTTGTAGTTTTTAGTTGTAGTTTTAAGCTGTAGCTTTTAGTTGTAGTTTTTAGTTGTAGTTTTTAGTTGTAGTTTCTATTTGTAGTTTCTAGTTGTAGTTTCTAGTTGTAGTTTTTAGTTGTTGTCTTAAGTTGTAGTTTCTAGTTGTAGTTTTTAGTTGTAGTTTTAAGCTGTAGCTTTTAGTTGTAGTTTTTAGTTGTAGTTTTTAGTTGTAGTTTCTATTTGTAGTTTCTAGTTGTAGTTTCTAGTTGTAGTTTTTAGTTGTTGTCTTAAGTTGTAGTTTCTAGTTGTAGTTTTTAGTTGTTGTTTTAAGTTGTAGTTTTTAGTTGTAGTTTTAAGCTGTAGCTTTTAGTTGTAGTTTTGACAAGAATGGCCAAATGTTTTAGTTTCCCAACACGAATCAACATGATGGTTGTAGCACCGCTTCTAGAGAAGAAAATGAACGTTCTGAATACATGTAGCACGATTAGACTCAATCTGTTCCTGTTATTAAAAATCTCAGTGTTAACATGTCTGTCCATCTCAATTCGCACATGATGTTTCGCACATAATGTTTCGCACATAATATTTCGCACATATTTTGCACATTATGTTTCAGACATTATGTTTCGGACATTATGTTTCGGACATTACTGAGCACATCACGCACACGCCAACCAGATGTAAAATATCTGAGCAGATATAATCTCAAGCATACATAAATGATATACATCAGTGGATATATTGTATCCAGCGGCGTATCTAGGGGCGATGTCATGGGGTCTACCACTGTTTTACTATAAATATATATATATATATATATATATATATATATATATATATATATATATATATATACATTTATACAAGAATACTATACTAAGTCCGCCCTCTGCCTGGTGTACACACACACCTACTATAAACATTGAGAGCATACTACAGAAAACCAACAATAAACATCACTGCTAAATCTACTGCTTCAAAATATTTTTCTCATCAATATAACAGCAACCCTTCACTGCTTATATCTTCGCAAGTTGAAAGTTCAAAGACACTACACCTCAATGTGTCCTAACTCAAATTAAAAAAAAAAAAACGAACAGTATAGGGTGTCAACGCCAGTGTGTTTCAGTTAAAGCTATTTAAGACATATAGGCCTACTGTGTTTTTTTTTTCTATTTGAGCCTAAAGCTAGAATTTTGAAAATTGCGCTTGTTTAGATACAACACTTGAGTGAATAACTTCACATTTTATTGACGAAGTAATTTTAACAAGCAGTAAGCAGTAAATGAGTATAGGCTATACCATCCTATGTCAAATTATTTTATCCTTTACCATTATATTCCTTTTTATACCATCACATATCATTTTATACCATCTTATTCCA